GTGACTGAACTCAAATTTCTAGCCCCTCTGAAATTTGGGCTGAAAGGCCCAACCCTTTACTTATGTGGTTGGTTCCCCAGGCAGTGAGACCCCGCCCTGAAGCAATCTAGAGGCCCACCCAGAGTCACCTTATTAGCATAAACTCAGGAATGATTGAAAGGGACTTGCTATGAATAAGAAAAGATACTCCTGTCTCTCGGGAAATTACAAGGGTTTTAGAAGCTTTGCAGGAACCTGAGACAAAGACCAAATAAATACTTATTGTATCACAGTGATCTGGGCAAAGTTTATTTTAAATAAATGGTAGGTTAGAATGTAGATGAATGTGCATTTACCATCTAAGATAGATAAGATAATGATGAATTTTAATAAAAGAAATTGAAGCTTATTTTAAATGAGGAAAGATTTAAATGGGAAACCTAAGCTTTCACACAGTGAGAAATGAAGGTGAAAGGGGTTTATACACAACATAAAATGCCTTATATTGGGGGGGAAATGGGAACATGTTCTCATTTTACTGTAATGGATAAGCCAAGTGGAGGCCCCTTCTCAGTCCAGTGATTCAGACCATGGTTGTGTCATTATGGCACACAAATTATGGATTGTTACTGTAATTGGGCATAGGGCTTCTAAACTGAGCTAAGAACAAACATGTAAAGTTAAGGGGTTTGCAGATTTTGACTATTACTGTAACCCATGCTGAAGAAATAGCTGGGTGCTGCTCCCATGATTCTGCTGCTCTCTTTTTCCTCCCGGTTTTCTTTAGCAAAGAGTGGTGGCTTGGCCCCGCTTTAATTGCATGCTAGCTGGAGAAAGAGCCATGAGGAAATCTGGTCACAAGCTTCAGATGCTCATTTGAATCTAGTGTTGTACCTTCTAGAAATGAAAGGTAGATCATTTTGATTTCAGACATAAAGGTATCATATAATAGACACAAAACATAGGTCACAAAGATGATGTGTTCTACAGCATGATACTCACCCATTTTTTTAAAACATTTTTTTCCACTATAGGACCCAAAGGAACGATTGGGTTGTCATCCTCAGACAGGTTTTGCTGATATTCAGGGACACCCGTTTTTCAGAAATGTCGATTGGGATATGGTATGTAAATTATGATTGTTTTCTCTATTAGGTTTCATGGTATATTGGGCCAAATTTTATTACCTTGATAGAAATTTGAAAAACTAGTGTATCACAGCCTAAATTGCTTAAAACCGCTCTCTAATGTGCTTTTTGAAAAGCTTTTAAAACAGTAAAAGCCTAGATTATTAATTTAATGGAACGAGTTGTAATATTAATTGATACCTGCATCAATGTTCAGATTTGTAAATTATTTCCATCATTGTGCATATTTTAAAACCTTGCTTGCATAGGGACTCACTTTAATAAGATGGAAACATCTGAAGACAGAAGAGAAATGTAGTTGTGGACTTTATCCAAGAATGCAGGCTTAAACTTTCATCCAATATGTCTTTCTAGATGGAGCAAAAGCAAGTGGTACCTCCCTTTAAACCAAATATTTCTGGGGAATTTGGTTTGGACAACTTTGATTCCCAGTTTACTAATGAACCTGTCCAGCTCACTCCAGATGATGAGTAAGTAATTCTGTAGACTAAAATATTTATCAAGTTCTTTGAAAGTCCCATTTTTAGTAGCTATATACAATGTTTTATCATTAGATTATACTATAATTTATCTAACCACTTTGTTACTGGGTATTTGAATCTATTATATCACTATAAATTATGACAGTAGTTGCCATTTTCTACTTTGATTTACATGCATTATCTCTAATTCTCACAGCAACCTTGTAAACCTAGTTATCATCATCATCATGATCATCAGCATCATTTTGCAGATGAGGAAACCGGGCTCAGAGAGGTTAAGCAAAGTTACACAACCCATCAGGTGGCAGAGCCAGGATTCAGACCCTAATCTGAATGACTAAGGCCTGTGCTCTTTCTACTGTGCTGCATTGTTTTCCATTTGGCGATGACCATCTTCGAGTATTACCTTAAGATAGAATCCTGGAAAGGGAACTAGGTCAAAGGGCGTGCAATTTTAAAATTCTTGATATATATTGCCAAATTGCTTTTTAAAAAGATTACTCAGCTTATCAAGTCCAGCCAGCAATGGTCTGACGTACTTTTTGTGTTTATGTTAAATCTTTTTAAAAATGTGGTTTAGAATAATTTGGGGATGTTTTGATCACTTACCTGTCATTACAGGTTCATTCTCCCCTCTCAAGGAGGCCCTTACAGCTGGGAGGTCATTTACATCTGGTTAATTCTTAGCCCATTCTTCATAGCAGCTCTTCTAAATTATCTGTGCATTTTAGAAGCCTTCATTCCTACCCCTTCCTTCATTACTCTTAATGCTTTAACCTTGCCTTAACTTGACCCCAAGGACTGAGACCTCCCTGGCGTGGACTTGCTCCCCACTCACCTGTCATTAGGCCACCTCGCATCTCAGGATTGCTCTGAAACTCTTCTCAACCTTTTTCTTATTCCCTATTCTCGGAAAGATACCCCTCTTTTGCAAGAGGTGCTCTCCTGTTTTCCTAGACCTGTTCTTTTGTGTTCCTCCGGGATTTTATTTTGTCATTTGCCTCTACTTCTCTACCTTCTTTAATTTTTTTTTCCAGTTTCTTGCCCTCTGCTTATGCATATGCTCAGATAGCCTAATTTTTTCTTCTGAATCTTAGCTCTTCTCTGAACCACCACATTTTTTTTCTCATTTTCTTTTCATCTGCAGGCTTTTTCAAAGACAGCTCATAGATGATCATAATAAAAGAAAAACAAGCAGTATCTCTATCCAATGCCTTCAGAGTAGTTAACATTGATTGTGTTGCACTTCCTCATTGCCAACACTTTAACAAACTCTTACAATTTAACCTGCTCCTGAAGGTTGAATTAACTTATTAATTTCTAAATTTTAAGGCATTTATAGACATCTCCCCTGATGTCTATAAACATTGGACACTCGTGGCCTTGCTTTGTTGGCACTACCCACCCTGGCTCTACAGCATCTTTATGAACACTTGTCATCTTTTTTTCCCGGTCCCCTTGAGGGTAGGATGCTCCACAGTTCTGTTCATGACAACCTTCCCTTTGCTATATGCATTTTGTACCTTGGAGATTTCAGCCAGCCCCGTAGCATGGATACCAGCTATGAAAAATGAGCGCCAGCTAACCTGTCTGACAATTACTGAGCAAAAGGCACTATGCTAAGCACTAGACATCCGAAGATGATCAAGACATAGGCCGATCTTGCAAAAGACTTACTGTCTACTAGAGAAGAGAAATATGTACCCACATCATCATTTCAGACAGCATCATGTTTTAGAAAGAACATTGGGTTTAATTAAAAGATAGGAATTTGAATCCAGATGCCACCTTTTACCAGCTGAGTAATCTGGGTGTGAACTGCATAACTTCTCTGAGCCTGTTTCGTCCTGTATTGCCTACCTCACAGGGTTGCTGTGAAAAATAAATGAGCCCTGGCTAGATAGCTCAGTTGGTTAGAGGGTTGCCCCAACACACCAAGGTTGAGGGTTTGATCCCCAGTCAGGGCACGTACAAGAATCGACCAATGATGCATAAATAAATGGAACAACAAATTGATGTTTCTCTCTCTCTCTCTCTCTCTCTCAATCCGTCCCTCCTTCTTTCCCCTCCCTCCCTGCCTCTCTCTCCTTAAAATCAATCAGTATATTTTTTAAAAAGGAATAAAGGAGTCATGGTTTCTAAAGCACCTAGCCCCTGCCCTGATGTCTGTCCTGAGCTGCATTTCCATTCACTTGTTTAACATCTCCCTTAGCTTATCAGACATGTACTTCAAACACATGGAGGCTGAAATTGATGCAATGGTCTGTTTTTCTGTTGTTCTCAATGAATTTCTTGGGGTTTTTTTTACCTTTTTCTGCTTGTTGTACCACCATGCATTCCTGCATTCAGATTCAGAATATCAGTGATTATTAACTTTTCCTTTTCTTTAAAACAAAAAAACAAACAAACAACTAAACTGTAATACCTTGAGCTGCCAAGTCCATGTCTGTCTTTCTTTTACTTCATCATTTGCATCAGATCCTTTTTTTTCCCTTTTCATTACCGTAAGCCCAGTTCAAACTTCTTTCAAATCATACCTGGAATATTATGCCATCCTCTTTATTGGACACCTTTGCTTTGCAACCCACTCTGTACACCCACAAAGTACCACTCCATTTCTTTAAATCCTTAAATCACAAACCTTTAGCAACTCCTGCATTGCCCAGCAAATAAAATCTATTGTCTTTGCTGGCATTTAAGGCCTCCTGCCTTCTGCTCCAGCCTGACCCTGTATCTGTCTCTCACTGTGCTGTGCTCTGATCAGTCCCAGTTACTCACCATTCCCTGATAGCATGCTATTAAACTTTGCTCATGCCGTTTACTCTATGTTCCTACTGAATTTTTATCTACTGAAATCTTTCCCATCTTTCAGAGCTATCTCAAATGCAACCCAGTCTTTGATGGATCAAGGTGAAACTCCATAGTGTAAACATCACTGGATTCTTTGAGCTAGCTCAATACCTTCCTACTAGGATTATCTGCCACTTTAATACCTTTCTATTCCTGTGCTCCAGCTCTAATAAATTACTTGCATTTCCCCAGACCTAGCCTAATCTTTCACAATTTCATTCAGTACATGTTTGTGAATTGAATGCTGCTTTTTTGATTTCTCCAACTAGAGGTCGTGTTGTGTTTTGTTTTGCTTCCTTGAATCTTGTTTTGAAAATTTTTAAAATTTTTTAAATACCGTTTATATTCAAAATCGTTGAATATCAAATTTCAGGCATATAGCACAGTGGCTAGACAGTCACGTACTCTACCAGGTGATCCCCCTGACATTTCCAGCGCCCAGCCAGCGCCATACAGAGTTGTCACAATGCTATTGACCATGCTTTCCAGGCTCTACTCCACACCCCCATGATGATTCTGTAACTGCCAATCTGACTTCTCAAAAAATAGGAGACACTTCACAAACCTGCGTGTCATACTTGCACAGGGGCTGTGGTAATCTTCTCTGGATCCTTCCAATTGTAGTATACATGCTAAGCGCGCACCACCCTTTTCTTTAGAACTGTGGTTATAAGAGGACTTAGCTTGTCCCGTAACTTAGCAGATTCTGCTTTCTCTTATAGCTTTCTGTTGTATAGGTACCTCCCCTCCTTGAAGGACAGGACCATATCCTGTATAACTTTGTGCTTTGCAGTATGATATATACATTGAAGTATGAAAATATTTGATACTACTACTCAATCTTATATATTAACTAGAAGCCTGGTGTAATAGAATGTCAACCTCTCCCCTCCCTGTGACCCACTCCTGTCTGGGGTGTTCTCCCCTTGTTCCACGTCTCTCAGTGTGCTTGTTCCTTTTGCCCTTTCCTTTTAGTTAACTTCTTCTGGGCCTCTCGTCACCATATGTTCTATCTGGCTATTGAGGTGACTACTAAATTGAATACTAATTCAGACCTGGATGTTTGCCTGTAATTATGAATGCTGTTCAGATCAACAGTTAAGATTAACTAGAATTGTAAAACTTTTTTCCATAATTTATATAAATTAACCTTAATTTTTGTTTCTTAATCTTATTTTACCACTTAAATAAAAAGTTAAAGAAATGTTGATCATGAAAATGAATTTATTTTTGTTCCAACAGTGATATTGTGAGGAAGATTGATCAGTCTGAATTTGAAGGTTTTGAGTACATCAATCCTCTTTTGATGTCTGCAGAAGAATGCGTCTGATCCTCATTTCTCAGCTATGCATATTGCTTGTGTTGCCATTTGATGCATGGAAAACTCATTACAGGCCTGGATATAATGAACCATTTGATATTTGCCACCTACAAAAAAAGCACTCAATATCTTGTATTGTTGACTGTAAGAGTCAGTTATCACATCTAAGTTTAACTTTGAAAAGCAATTGAGACTAGTTTCCAGACAATCACATCAAAATTTAGTTATACTGGCAATCTAGCAGTCTACTGATGACAAAGTTGTCTTTTTCATTTGAAGGTACTACTCACCACTGCTTTTAAAAAGAGTATCTGTTGCATTAAGGCAGATGTATTATGATTAGGTGTTATGTGTTACATCGTAAGCCTCCCATGATTTTTGTCGTTCTTTGTTAAGTCATTTAAGTCTTTAATTTTGGAGTAAAAGGGTAATTCAAAATATAGCAACTTATTATATTACCTATTAGTTTCTGAATTCTTTTTGTTTAAGAATTCAGCTATAAATTTTCTATTGCCTTGGATAATCACTGATTTTTAAGGCAACTGTTATTGAATTGATTGGTAATAAAAGGTATTGCTTGCTTAGAATTGGGGAACACACGTTCTTCTTGGGGGAAAAAGATAGGTACATTTTATTAAGAATCAGATTCCAAATCATTAAGTATTTTTGAAAAACTGATACAAGTGATTTAATATATTAAGGGATTATCTTATGAGCTTGTCCCTTTAACCAGAATTTTAAGCAAATGTAGTTCAAAGGATACAGGATGCAGTTGAATGGGAAATGTCTCAGTATATAGAAAGGAAAAAATAGAAATTTAAAATAGATACAAAAAAGTGCAATGGTAATATTTATTTCTTATTGGAGAGTAAATCTCACGGTTGCTTTTTGTGAATGATTAAATAAGGAGGCACTTATTACTAAACTTGTAAAAGCATTCCATTCACCCAGTGGAGACAGAATGTATACTATTTTTCCTTATAATTTAGTATACAGGAAAAGAATTTATCTTCCAAATACTGTATTAAACATGCCTATTTCTTACCCCAACGCACATTATCCGTACTCTTGTACCCTGCTTATGGAGTCTTCAGTGAAATCCATGAAAAATAATGAAATGAATAAATGTTGACACACACATACACTCACAGACATCCCATTTTCAACTCTTAAGTGAGTTTTTGTTAAGTAGGTAACACATGTAATACGGAGTAGAATACATTTCAAGGGCAGAGTTCTTCAGATTGTGTTTTATTAATATTAGTGTTTAGCAATGCATTATTTAAAAGGATGCCAGAGATAACATCCTTCTGTTGTTTTAAATATTTTTTTTATGAAAAGGGATTTAAAAAGTAAACATAATCATCTAAATTACTTATAATTGCCCACACTTAATTTTGGGGAAAGCTATTGAGTCTTCAACTTAGAACGATTGAAAATCTGTAGGCATTTAATAAAATATCTTCTTTTTCATTAGAAATGTAATTTTTCCAAAGTTACTGACCATGTACTCTTTCCTTTAATTAAGTCTGAAAGCAATGAACACCTCAAAGGAAAAATGTTTATATACATCCACCTGTTTATTTAAGACGTATGTATGTTTTTCTTAATACCTAAAACTTGTTTTAAAACAAAAAGCAGTATTCACTCAAATCATAAACTTATGGAACAGTCTGACATCTTATGTGAGAAATATGTTTATGATCTTGCTTTTAAGTGGTACTGTTTCCCTAGGGCATTAGTTCTAAAATTTTAGAATGTGGAATAAGTTTATGTAAAAGCACATTACGGGGCCTACCTTAGATTTCTGCTGGGTCTTTGAACCACATTTTGAGAAAACTTTGAGTTACTCTTTTATTTTGTCCTGTAGTTAAATATTAGAAAGAGTATTCATAATAAAATACTCTGAGAAAGGGTAGGCAGTGAGTTACTATTTTATCTACTATTTTAAATACATTTTGAATGAATAACTTTTTCAAGTTAGATGTCTTCTCAAAAAAAAAAAAATCCATCAGTTTTCTATCAGTAATGTTGCAAATGATGCACAATTTTCTGTGATGAGGTTTTAACTATTGTTCAGGGCGGTCTTTTGTTTTTAAATCTTTTTTAAAAAACTAATAAGCTTTACTGTGTATATTTTATACAGAATTGCATTACAAATGTTTTAATTGTGTTCTGTTTAAGTGCCATGACCATTCTTTTTATATTATATAGAAGTTGTCTGAAAATACTCACCAGGGGAAAAAAAGCAGTTGACAGAATGGTTGGAATTTTGGTGTTCTGAGAAAAAATTTATTTTGTATAAGCACGTGGTCAGATCATTTTATGTGTATGAAGCCTGAATTGGCTATCAGGTATTTTGCTTTATACATTCACTTTTTAAAATTTGTTTTCACCTTTGTCATGTAGAACACTGCCTTGGTCATCATAATGTAGTCTTTTATTTGTGTACCCTTTTTTTTTTTACTTTAAAGTCTTTAAATAAAATGTTTAATACCCATTAAGATTGGAACATTTTTAATTATGTAATATACCAAAAATTATTTAAGGTATATCAAAATTTATTCCAAAAGAAAAATGAGAATTTAAAAGTTTTGAATTTTTTTGTAAGCCAGTCAATGAGAGACAAATGCCATATCTCACCTGTAAGAGGAACCTAATGAACAAAAATAAACTAACGAGCACAATGGAACCATAGGCAGGGAAACCGGGAGCAGACTGACAGCGACCTGGGGGAGGGGGAATAATGGCGGAAAGAAGGGGAAGGAACTAGTCCAAGAACATGTATGAATGGCCCATGGACATGAATGACAGTGTGGGGACTGACTGTGGGGGGCAGGGGAAGGAGGGCGAAGGGGGAAAAATAGGGACAACTGTAATAGAGGAAGAATAAAAACTTTTTTTTATAGATTTTGTTTATTTTTAGACAGGGGAAAGGGATGGAGAAAGGGAGAGAAACATTGATGTGCCATAGATACATCAATTGGTTGCCTCTCGCATGCCCTGAACAGGAGACCTGGCCCAACAACCCAGGCTTGTGCCCTGTCTAGAACCAGTGACATTTCCATTCACAGGCTGGCGCTCAATCCACTGAGCCACATTATCCCGGGCAAATTTTTTTTTTTTTTTAAACGGCATTCTGGTAGTACTGATGCCGTATTTTAGATACTGACTTGTAAAATAATCAGTATATGTTTAAACTTACCCACCTATTCATCTCTTCCATTGGAAAACAAATTAGTAAAAAAAAAAAAAAATCAGCTGAACATAGAGTGTTTTAACTAGCTTTTAGACTGAAGGAAATTTGAACAGAATGAGAACAGGACAGGTTACTCCCAAATTATGTTCTACAGTGATCTATTGTAAAGTTCTAGAACTTCTCAGTTGTAGCTTAGTGTCCATATATGAATAAGTGTGATCCTGGTGTCCACATTGACTACTCTAGAGTAACAATGTTTCTTACCCTTCCCAAGAAGAAGAACATCTTAAGTGCCTTTACTTTTTTAATTTACTTACTTGTCAGAGAGGTAGGGCCTGTGCAATAAAACCACCAGAGACTGATCTCCTGTGTCTGTAATTTTATCCTAAGTTTAACTCTTAACTCAATATGGAGTGAAAGGCAGTATTTATTAAAGTACTGTCCAGCCTATCCCCTGTAACAAATCATGAATTTGGCTGTTTTCTTTGAGTTAGTCAAAACCTAAAATCAGTCCAAAGAGGAGGTTGAAGCTTTAGGGAAATGATTCATTAGGCATTTAGTCACTGGGGCAACCAACCAGTTCCTCCCTGAAAGGTAAATCCAGTGGTCCATCTTTAAAATTCAACGGCTTGGTTTCTGGATAACACCCAACAGTGAGCCATTTGGTGCCTTTGATGGCTGCCTTTATAGATTTACCCTTCTCTGGTCTAGGACTTCGGGGATTAGTTAAGTGTATAAAGCAATATCCCAGAGAGTCTCAGTAGTTTGTATTCAGCTTATCATTCCAGAATGTACTTGGAATTTACTATCCATGGTGCTAAATAAGGCTAATAAAAAGACAGGACCTCTACCCTTGACATTTGAGATGAAAAACAACTGAGGGAGACATTCATCTTCACAACAGTGATAAAAGCCAAATACAGTAAGATATACATTATGTGGTCGTGATAGTTTATCAGCTTCATCAATAAAACTTGTGAGTTTTACTTGACATGTGTAATCAATCCATGCTAGACATTTTTCCGGTTTATAGTAGGTTACACAAAACTTTCAGAATTCATATATTCAATAAGAATAAAATCTTAGATGCCTGTATGTTACATATATGTATGTTATTTTTGGCT